GGCCAACTATTCAAAAATTTCTCATTTCACCTGTCATTTGTTTTGTCATGAGCAAGTAGACATTAAAATAATCAAGCTATGACGAACTTGCATTCATGAATTCCAAAACATAGGCCTACTGTAGACTACGAAGCCAAATCTCCTAAAAGCCGTTTGGTGACTCAAAACATAACGGCTAGAACTGTGTCTAATTGTCCTATAACCTTCCATTTCTCCTGTTTTATGTCACGCAAGCAAGTAGACACGTTTATTAACCTTACGTTTTTCTCCATTTCATAGATCTGTCACAATATTTATAGTATTGAATTCAGTAATAGCATTGAATATATAAACTTTAACACTTAGTGTTTATATAGTCAATGGTAATAGGCTAGTGGTGCTACCGCTGATTGCTGATTGATGCCTGTGTAAAGTTAGTGGCTAGCAGACCATTTTTGACAACTAACTCAGGAAATCAGCTGTTTCCCCGTCCTCGCTCGCGCGCTCGGCGCTCGCCTTTGCCCTAGCATGTCAGCTGACTGCTGTAAAAATTGGATGATGCGTACAACTTTCCATAGCGTAATATTGTTTTATTCGTTGTGCTATTATTGTCCACAAAGTTTATCTATGTGAAACTTAATACTACTCCTGCCATCGCTCATTAAGTTTAATAAACCTACGTTGATGTCTGTTTTATGACAGTATTTAAAGGACGAAATGTACGTTAAAATTTATTTTTCCAGGGTCCAAGGGGGGGCTTTAGCCCCTGTAGCCCCCCCCCTTGGAACCGCCACTGATCACAGGCGAGAGGATAGATGTATGGGTATTCATCTATCCTATCGCCGGTGATCGTGTGGTTAGAGCATGATTATTGAATAGTTAGGTCAACCATATACATTTTGCCAGATAACTTCGTAATTTACTGGTCTGCCTCAATCATATTTATACTGAATATTCTAGACATTGTATATTACCATTAGAATACCTCAAAGTTGATGTGATGGACTTAGGAAAAAGATTGTGCACTTTTCCTGATGCGAGTTCCTATCAACCATATACACTTTGCCTTATAGCTTCGTAAATCACTGGACAGCCTCAATCATATTTATACTGATTATTCTATACATTGTATATTAGCATTAGAATACCTCAAAGTTGATGTGATGGGCTTAGGAAAAAGATTGTGCACTTTTCCTGATGCGAGTTCCTATCAACCATATACATTTTGCCATATAACTTCGTAATTTACTGGACTGCCGCAATAATACTCATACTGATTATTCTAAACATTGTATATTACCATTAGAATAGCTCAAAGTTGATGTGATGGGCTTGGGAAAAAAGATTATGCACTTTTTATGTTCGGAGTTTTAATTGATCGCGTTATGTTAAGCCTAAGCTACGTATAATGTACAGTACGGTCTCAAATATGCCTTTTAAAATACGTTAATTAATTAGTTTTAACTTGTATACACGTTTTATCAATGTATAATTGACATTATATAAATATAAAAACATCATTTCACATCGTATTGTCATTGATTTGTGTTTCCGACATCCCTGCAAAACACGTTTGTAGCGTCCGCAGGCGTACCAACCCACATCTATTACAAACCGAAACTTTTCCTGACGCAAATTCCTATAAACCATATAGATTTTGCCTTATAGCTTCGTAATTCACTGGACTGCCGCAATCATATTTACCCTGATTATTCTACACATTGTATATTACCATTATAATACCTCAAAGTTAATGTGATGGGCTCAGGAAAAAGATTGTGCACTTTTCCTGATGCGAGTTCCTATCAACCATATATATTTTGCCATATAACTTCGTAATTTACTGGACTGCCGCAATCATACTCATACTGATTATTGTACACATTGTATATTACCATTAGAATACCTCAAAGTTGATGTGATGGGCTCAGGAAAAAGATTGTGCACTTTTCCTGATGCGAGTTCCTATCAACCATATACATTTCGCCATATAACTTCGTAATTTACTGGACTGCCGCAATCATGCTCATACTGATTATTCTACACATTGTATATTACCATTAGAATACCTCAAAGTTGATGTGATGGGCTTAGGAAAAAGATTGTGCACTTTTCCTGACGCAAATTCCTATCTACCATATAGATTTTGCCTTATAGTTTTGTAATTCACTGGACTGCCGCAATCATACTCATACTGATTATTCTACACATTGTATATTACCATTAGAATACCTCAAAGTTGATGTGATGGGCTTAGGAAAAAGATTGTGCACTTTTCCTGATGCGAGTTCCTATCAACCATATACACTTTGCCTTATAGCTTCGTAAATCACTGGACTGCCTCAATCATATTTATACTGATTATTCTATACATTGTATATTAGCATTAGAATACCTCAAAGTTGATGTGATGGGCTTAGGAAAAAGATTGTGCACTTTTCCTGATGCGAGTTCCTATCAACCATATACATTTTGCCATATTACTTCGTAATTCACTGGACTGCCGCAATCATACTCATACTGATTATTCTAAACATTGTATATTACCATTAGAATACCTCAAAGTTGATGTGATGGGCTTAGGAAAAAGATTGTGCACTTTTCCTGACGCAAATTTCTATCGACCATATAGATTTTGCCTTATAGCTTCGTAATTCACTGGACTGCCGCAATCATACTCATACTGATTATTCTATACATTGTATATTAGCATTAGAATACATCAAAGTTGATGTGATGGGCTTAGGAAAAAGATTGTGCACTTTTCCTGATGCGAGTTCCTATCAACCATATACATTTTGCCATATAACTTCGTAATTCACTGGACTGCCGCAATCATATTTATACTGAGTATTCTACACATTGTATATTACCATTAGAATACCTCAAAGTTGATGTGATGGGCTCAGGAAAAAGATTGTGCACTTTTCCTGATGCGAGTTCCTATCAACCATATACATTTTGCCATATTACTTCGTAATTCACTGGACTGCCGCAATCATACTCATACTGATTATTCTAAACATTGTATATTACCATTAGAATACCTCAAAATTGATGTGATGGGCTTAGGAAAAAGATTGTGCACTTTTCCTGACGCAAATTCCTATCGACCATATAGATTTTGCCTTATAGCTTCGTAATTCACTGGACTGCCGCAATCATACTCATACTGATTATTCTATACATTGTATATTAGCATTAGAATACATCAAAGTTGATGTGATGGGCTTAGGAAAAAGATTGTGCACTTTTCCTGATGCGAGTTCCTATCAACCATATACATTTTGCCATATAACTTCGTAATTCACTGGACTGCCGCAATCATAATTATACTGAGTATTCTACACATTGTATATTACCATTAGAATACCTCAAAGTTGATGTGATGGGCTCAGGAAAAAGAATGTGCACTTTTCCTGATGCGAGTTCCTATCAACCATATACATTTTGCCATATAACTTCGTAATTTACTGGACTGCCTCAATCATATGTATACTGAGTATTCTACACATTGTGTATTACCATTAGAATTGCTCAAAGTTGATGTGATGGGCTTGGGAAAAAAGATTATGCACTTTTTATGTTCGGAGTTTTAATTGTTCGCGTTATGTTAAGCCTTAGCTACGTATAATGTACAGTACGGTCTCAAATATGCCTTTTAAAATACGTCAATTAATTAGTTTTAACTTGTATACACGTTTTATCAATGTATTATTGACATTATATAAATATAAAAACATCATTTCGCATCGTATTTTCATTGATTTGTGTTTCCGACATCCCTGCAAAACACGTTTGTGGCGTCCGCAGGCGTACCAACCCACATCTATTACAAACCGAAAAAGCGCCGATGAAAAGAGCCGCTAACTTCACGACGGTGACTTCCGGAAAGTTTAACTAGAGACTAAACAGACGAAAACAAGTCACCGCTACAGGCACAGCTGTTTAGAACTGTACAGCTGATTGTGAATTGTGACAACAAAATTGAACAGGCTGGGAAACACAACAACTCTAAAGTTAGTAGCAGTGTTTTCGCTGTATACAGTGGATTCTCGTATGTATAACTATCACTATATTATATGGATGTAGATAATAGCGTTTTCATTAAAATGGATATGTTTAGTACATGTGATGCATGATGCAGGTGTTATTTATTTATTTATTGTAGGCTACTTAACTTTTATTATTTATGTATTTTTACAACATTTTGTATTTTTCCTTTTGACGAGACTGATAACATGTAATCGTTGAATAGTCAAATAAATTTTTGATTCTTGATTCATAAAATTAATTATTTTATAGGCTAAATCACTTTTCAATCAAACAATCACTTATAAATATTATGAAGTCCCTGTTTTGGGATATAACAGTTACATACCGTTGTAGCCTTTCGTATCAAGAAGGTTTCCGCAAACCGATTTCAAATATTTCAAATGGTTGATAAGTTAAGGGAGGGGGGTGCAAGTTACTTTTCAGCCACCCTGTATACTGGATTTGTGACAAAATTTACGCTTTTTAGGAATTTTTAAAGCATAGCAGAAAACAAAGCCATACATAAAAAGTTAAGTAAACTATTTATCTCTGAAACCTTGGAATAAAACTATCCCTAACCTTTTTGTTTCTACACTATTTTAGTATGATGATGATGTCAATTACAATAAAGTATTGTTCAAAATTAAATAACTTAAACGAGTATTCATTGACGATCCCGTTAATTAATATTCAGTCAGTTCAGTCCTCAAATTAATATCTAATACAGAAGAAAGTGTTAAGCATAATTAATAACCTAATATACCAAATTAGTAGGTTGTACATGTTTATGAAATTTATATTCAAAATAGTTTGACTCATTGAAAAGTTTTCCCAAAAGAAACAGTCACAAAATTAAACCGATTAACCCTTTCCTGCGTTTCTTACTCTCACTCTCAAAGATGGATGCTAAAGGATATCAACAACACAGTAAATAATTACAACTTTATTAACAACTGAACAATATAATACAAAGAAGGAACACTGAGTCAGTTAGGGTAGTGTGGGTATCGGGGGGGAGGGGTTTGCATGTACAGGGGTAGCGGGTAGTACGATGGAGGCGCTGAGAGATGCTGGGGGGTGGGAGAGGCTAGTAAAGGGGGCAGCTTAGAAGCACTGGGGGCGTAGAAAGCACCCAAGTCGGAGGATTGATACTTGTAGCCGGGCATGTCCGTGGAGCTCGACCCCTGACTCTGGGCTTGGCAGGCAATCATGAGTCCGTGAAAGTCGAACTTGTAGGCGTACCTCTTCCCGTGGACTTTGGTCATTATGTTTTTGTCGTAATAATACCTGCAGACAAGAATAAATCAATATTTACTTCATATGCTATCTACAGGGTGAGTTTTAATTGTCCCCCCCCCAACTTTTTTCTACATTTTTTCAAATATCAATCCCAGACCACTTTTAAACATTGTTGGGTAGGAAGTACTTCATTTTGACAAGGTGGTCATTTCCGGCCGCCATCTTGGATCCGCCATATTGGATGCAAAATATTTTTTCAAATGTAAATTGGGGTTGTGACCCATTATTTCGAACTAGATTTTTACCCTGATTACAATGACGCAAACCGTTTAAAAAAATCTTGATTCATTCTAAAGTTATGAGGCCTTTTTAAAACTTAATTTTTAGCCCATTTTAACATTGTGCTTGTACAAACTAATACCATAATCTCAAAATAGTTCTAGATAAAGATAAGTATACACTACCAGTCATTGCCAACCTATTTCCACTTGGTTATGAATTATGTATTTTTTTCGGCCGCCATCTTGGATCCACCATTTTGAAATGTGATAAATTATTTTAAATATAAAAGGGGTGTTGTGGCCCATCATTTCGGATTACTTTTTTAAACTAAACTCAATTCTACTGTCCATTTTTTATTTTCATATTTTGATTTTGAAATATTAACATTTTTAACAAAAATATTGCAATATTTCATAAATAAAACTTGATAACAAAAAATAGATTGCGGCATTGAGTTTAGCTTAAAAAAGTAGTTCAAAATGATGGGTCACAACACACCCTTCATATTTAAAATAATTTATCCTATTTCAAAATGGCGGATCCAAAGATGGCGGCCGAAAAAAATACATCAGTCATAAATAAGTGAAAATAGGTTTACAATAACTGGTAGTGTATACTTACCTTTATCTAGCACTATTTTGAGATTATGGTCTTAGTTTGTAAATGCACAACGTTAAAATGGGCTAAAAATTAAGTTTTAAAAAGGCCTCATAACTTTAGAATGAATCAAGATTTTTAAAAACGGTTTGCGGCATTGTAATCAGGGTAAAAATCTATTTCGAAATAATAGGTCACAACCCCACCTTTGCATTTGAAAAAATATTTTGCATCCAATATGGCGGATCCAAGATGGCGGCCGGAAATGACCACCTTGTCAAAATGAAGTACTTACTACCCAACAATGTTTGGAAGTGGTCTGGGATTGATATTTGAAAAAATGTAGAAAAAAGTTGGGGAGGGACAATTAAAACTCACCCTGTATATTTATACAACTAGATAACATATATCAAAGTTGTCGGAAGTTGTTTAGTCAAAATCGTTATAGTTTAGAGCCACCGACACATGTGCTGACTAAGATTACTAATTATTTCTGTCTAATACACAAACATTCTTACCGTCAAACTGATTGAATGAATTATTGTAAGCTTCAACCACTGTTATGACATGACCCATCAATTTTGTCATCAACAAAAAATAAGGTATAAAATCGATTTTAGACACTAGCACATTTTGTGACTGGCTCACACAACTAATATATCTTTTTTAGAAATGGCGACAGCTGGAAGCCAGCACAGCTCTTCCATTTACTGTAGATGGGATTTCTACTTCAGTATACAACATAGTCAATTATTCTATATTTTCACAGAATAGTGGAAGAAAATTAGCCCCAGCTATCTTTGATTGTTAGGCTTTTAATGCTACAATTCTGGCTAAAAATTAGCTGTTCCCGTTTAGCAGCAAAACTACACAAGGCATCTCACTCTTACTCCATTCCACACTTATCTCTCACCTTCACTCATTTTTTGGTTCCAAATAGACCCAGTAGTGTCCAAACCTCAAATTGGTAGTACCGTGTATTTAACATTCTGGTTACATTAGGGTGTATGTTGATGCAAAGTTAGTATAATCTTACTAAATCCTTTATTTTCTCACACTCCCTATACAACATCCTCTAAGTTACTTAGACAACATTTTCTGTTATATCTAACATCTAGTTCTACAGTCCTCATTTCTCACCTGAGAGCTCTGCTCAACTTGTCGTAGTTCATGTTGGGCTTAGACTTTCTCTCACCCCAACGCCTCGCCACCTCGTCCGGGTCAGTGAGTTTGAACTCGCCGTGGCTCCCCTCCCAGGCGATACAGGAGGCGTTGCTCTGATCCCGGAGCAGTTCTAGGAGGAACTGCCACAGCTGGATCTGTCCGGACCCTTGGGCTACCAGACGGGACGACGCGGCGTTCAGCAACTCGTAGGGATCTGTTGGAAACATTCAGGCTTAATGGCTTGGTAAAGTACCATCAGTGACTGGGACGGTGGCGTCGTCCTGTAATCCAGCTACTGTACTCGGAGGTCAAGAATTGTGGATATTTATCGGGATGCACTGTGGATGCGATACTCCCTGGTGTGGATTAAAGTCCGCACGAGTGAGTACTACGACTATCCACAGTACTATCCTGATAATTAGACCAATTCGTTAATACCAAGGCAAAAATGTGGTTCCACTATAAACTGTAGGTTCCTTAGTTGCCATTAGCTGTATGAGCTATTAATTAACAGCTTTGTCTAAGAACATGTCGGCCTTAGTCACTAAACTAGCTACGTGATCGCGCCACTCTTCCTACACTCGTCCTTCGCTCATATTTAAAATACTTAACATATTAAAATATATTTAAAATACGCACATAGTGGCGTCGCCATCTCAAATAATTGATATTGACATCTGTTTCGACTATGGATATAGACATTCCAATTCCATTCCCATGTTAAATTTTTCATGAATTTAGTTGAACATTAATTGTTAATAAAATGCCAATCGGTTCTTGCCTTCAAATCTGAAGGAAGCTGCTAGATTCCAAGCGAGTTATCTGGGCTCAAATGTCATTTGCGCTATCAATTAATGATGTTATCTAGATTAAGGTTAACGTAAGATGGTAACATGGTTAACTCTTTATGAAAAAATGTTAAAAAGCAATGGCGTGGGAAGACAAAAACATAAAAGATCCACTATAGTTCAGCCGCTTGGAAAGCGACCTCCTCCAGCAATGGTTTAGCATTAGCGCACAGGTCGTTTTCTAAGCGGACGAACTATAACAGCGTTTGCTGATATACAGTACTGATCTATGGCAAATAAAACAATCTTTTAACCAAGGGCTGAAAGCACGATGAATTGTAATAAAGCATCTTGGATGTTCCATAAACCATCACAATAACCAAACCATACATAAAGCATAACTAAAGGATAATAAAATTTTAGATTGCAGCAGAGTAAGTGGCTCCTTTAATAAATGTGAGCCGATTCCAACTGTAATCCAATCAGCTGATTGTTGCATTGTTGTTTTTCTATCTCTTTTATAACGTTTTTAGTTAATATCATGTGGTAACAAGAATCTATTGTTGTGACAATTCGTTGAAATATTTAGTGCGGTTCTTTCAGTGGTTAATCGGTTGATATTGTGTGTTTATGATGATCCAACCATCAAAATAATCGCAGTAGGATTACCAAAGGTTAGTTGTGTTTGTGAGAATTATTAATGATTATGGGACAAATTTAATAATACACACAAGTAATTCGTTGTAATTGGTGTAATTATAACACTACTAAATTATAAATATTGTTCTAAAAATATTTTGCAAGGAACAAGTAAACTAACTGTGAAAGTTTAAATACCCTAAATTAGAGGTTAATTTAAATAATTTTAATATACAGGGTGATTCAAAAAGGACTTTACAACTTTGAAAATTCTTATAAATCTTATTAAACAAGGTACAGAGCTCGTTTTGGTGTTGTTTTAAAGGAAAACACTTAAAGTTTTTTTACCTTAAACTAAAGATGTTCTATGTGACTTCCGTTGGATTTGGGGAGAATAATTATTTAGGCACGAAAAAATAGTGAAAACCGTTAAAAAAGTGAGAGAAATTTACATTTTGAAAGTAGGGCGTTTTTTGACGGTGAAGGAGTGCGATACACCCACTTCTAGATGTGCTAGGGAGTTGAAATTTCGCACACGTAGTTCTTGGTCCCAAACCACCCATAAAATTCCAAAAAGTCGCATTTTCAAATTTTAACCCCCCCAAAAATCCAAAATGGCGTACCTCTGAAAACGACAAAACACGTTTTTTTTCAAACGGCTATAGCTTGAAAACTGTAAGAGCTATAAAAGATTTGAGGAAAAAACGTAGGTTCGGAATTAAATTTCCTACAAGACACTAATTATGCGTTTTTCGAAAATCGCACTCCTTCACCGTCAAAAAACGCCCTACTTTCAAAATATTGTAAATTTCTCTAAAATTTTTAACGGTTTTCACTATTTTTTCATACCTAAATAATTATTTTCCCCAAATCCAACGGAAGTCACATAGAACATCTTTAGTTTAAGGTAAAAAAACTTGAAGTGTTTTCCTTTAAAACAACACCAAAACCAGCTCTGTACCTTGTTTAATAAGATTTATATGAATTTTAAAAGTTGTAAAGTCCTTTTTAAATCACCCTGTATTGTGGAGTAATTTAAATTCAACGACGCCATTAAATTTTATACAACAATGCAAGTAAGGGGTACAGTTTCTTACTGGGCTACGCTAATATCGATTGAAACTATCGATTTGAAAATATTGATTAATAATCGATATTTTTAAATATATCTATTATGAAATAAAACTATCATAACCTAACCTAACAAACCAAACTTGCTGATGGTGAAAAAATCGCATGAAGGTTTACTAATCGAATCGATAGTTTCAATCGATATTAGTGTAGCCCAGTTATGAAACTGTACCCCAACCAAGTAAGTAAGTAAGTTTCTCAGTTTTATTTTGGTAATTATGGGATAATTAGGATTTAATAACGCAATTTCAACGAATTCCCATATAGGGAATAAGCTATAACCGTAATACTCATGGCAAGACCTGGATCCGGGATCGATTTACTTTTTCGTTTTGTGGTCCCTAGCGGCCAAAAACACCATCCGTTCAAATTCATATATATGTCCGTTAGCACGATAACTCAATATAAAATCATCCGATTTTGATGAAATTTGGTATAAACGTGTACACCTACATTTATTCGAACGAGTTCGCGAACCAGCATGATCGGACTATGAGAACGGGGGTTTGTGGGGTAAAAGTTGGGTTTTCCCATTTTGACCCAAAAAACATTAAATTTAGCAATTTCTTTCCAAAACATTTTGTAGAGCTTAAAAATAATAATTTAGTACAATGAAGCGTTATTATGCGCCTAATGGTTAAGGAGAAAATTCCAAAAAACTGTAAATTCAAAATTCCCACGTTATTCTTATGGAGAATAAGTAAACTGTGTTGTAAACACTTGTTAATGAACATACTTTGATCAAATTTGGAACATGCATTTATTTCTTACCGAGCTATTAAAATTTAAAAAAACAATTTTTTACCCTCCCTGATGCAGCAAACCTAAGTACTCGTTACACTAATTCTAGGCCTATTTAAATAGGGAATAAAAGTGATATTTTTAAGGAGACATTTTAGTGAAATCCAATTAGGCGAATGGAAATTCGCTTAGTTTGCAGGTTTGCTGCGGCCGCGGTATTTATTTAGGCCTATATGATCAAATTGAAAACAGGAACACATTTACCAAGCTAATTTGTTGGTGGAAAGCGAAATGTTGAAAAGGTCGGTTGCAGATAACTTGTAACTTCAACTATTTCTCTTATCCAGTTACACATATTAAGGTATATTATCGATTAGTATACGAAATATAAACAGTATCACAACTGAACAAAGCTGAACAAAGTATAGAAAAAGTTTGTGAATAGATACTTGATAGCGTCTCTCGAAAGAAATGAAATAGAAATGAAACATATTAGTTTTCATCACTAGGAGCGAAAGTGGCTCTTTTTGGTTCGCAATCGAGCTTGGAAATACGATCTTAATCGTATTTCCAAGCTCGATTACCAAAACGCACAGTACCAAAAAGACAGTCTTTCGCTCAGTGTGATGAACAAATATTTTCCTCATACTGTGGAAATCCTACTAATATTATAAATGAGAAAGTTTGGATGTATGGATGTATGTTTGTGACAAGTGAACGCGAAAAATACTGGTCGGATTGGGCTGAAATTTGGCATGATGATAGCTCACATTCCCGATTAACATATAGGCATATTCTTATTTCAAAAATCCTTTCGGGCTCCGCCCCAGTGGCTCTGGAGTTTCCCATGTTAACCTTATGAGAAATGGAATTATTGAATCTTAACAGCTGTTTCAATTAAACAAGTTGGTTCTGTTCTATGATGTTCAATAGCATTAAAGTTACAAGGATTACCAACAGGGTGCAGCACTATTATTTCTTTTACATTTATGACAACAGCTAATTTGCAACCAAAAGCAAATTAGCGCCTTACTCACCTGGAGGCGAGTTAGCGTAGCGAACGAGCTAACCTGAAGGCAAGTGAGCGCAGCGAACGAGCTCCAACCTAAAGGTGAGTGAGCGTAGCGAACGAGCTCCAACCTAAAGGTGAGTGAGTGTAGCGAACAAACTTCAACCAGGACGTGATTGAGCCATGCGAACGAGATAATCTTGAAAATTAAGAAGTTAAACGGGGCAAAGCCCGAGGGTTACAGCTAGTATATTATATTATTAAAGTGATACAATCAAATTTTATGTAAATGGTTAGGGCCATCAACCAAATAAAAATATAGGCATATGTCACACCAAAATGAAGCTCAAAGTGTCTAGATTTTCCGAAAAGTATTGATGTGAACGAATTCTCTTAGGGCTCTGCGTATATCTAGTGCGGCCTTGCTCTGCCCCATAGGCTGATTTTCAAAGGGCTACGCCTTACATGTTTTAGAAGTTTAAGTTATTCGGTTAAATTAGTGAATTACAGCTGGTCAATGCAATTGACAACATATTGTCTATTTACATTTTTGTTTACTTATTTTATTATTTACTTTTATGTTCTTAAAAGAGGTGAGGCAACTCTAATGAATTAGATCAGACGATGTTGTAGGAATTGGGAGCAATTTTGACAGAAATAAATCCATGCGCGGGTTTGTATAAGAATCTAAACGAAGTTTTTACAACTGCATTTCTAATATTTATTTCAAAAACAATTGCCCGAATGAAGAGCGGGCCAAATAGCTAGTAACCTTCTAATTGTTGCAAAATTAGACCACATAATTTTAGGTTATATCCAAGTCGTCATCAATGTTTAGGCCTACATTTCTGTTTACAAATATAACTTTAAATAGCGTGTGATTAGCAGCGTTTTCGTAATGTACTG